CCTGCTGTATCGCATCCAAGACTCCTTGATTCACATGGCCCTTTGCTGAGCATTCCTTCATCAACTCGACTGGTGACGTGACTGTGACCTGTCATGACCTGTCCTGATGTTGCTCAGGACACTTGTCAAGCGCTCTCGTTTCTGAAGAGGTGCCCCAAGTCCACACCCTGCGTCCTCCCAGTGTTGCAGACATCGATCCAGCAGGTTCACTCGGAACGCGAAGTTCACTGCGAAGGAGCTTCTGGACACGGCAGCGACTTTCAAGGCGTCGGGGGCAGGTGGCTTTGTGCTGCTCTGTTGCGGTACCCATGCTGAATTCGACGTGCAGGTGTCGCATCGGATGCTCTCTGCTCTAGAAGCAGCCTATGGCTGGCGTGGTGAGTCGCAGCTGACTGTCGTGAAGGACCTGAACAGCGGTGACCCAGTGGCGTTTCCATGTCGTTTAGCAAAGCAGTAAACGCATGACCTTCGACCCTGCTGTTGGTGAACCTCGTGCAGCTGAGGTCAGGTCCACTGGGTTGTGCAAGCGGTGCAGCCGAAACTGAGTTGTGCATACAACGACTCTCCCGATGCGGAGTACGAGGTGTGCGCTTGCAAACTGTGTCACTCAGGCAGAGCTTTGGTCATCTACCGTTTCTAGCTTGGAGTCAGGAGTCACTCACAGAAGGCTTCTTGGAGGGGCAGGGGCACAGCCTAAGATGGGGGGTTCCTTCAAGGGTTCCTTTAAGGGCTCCTTTCAACGTACCTGTAAGGGTTCCTTTAAGCGTTCCTTCAACGGCTTAAGCGTTTCACCCTAACACCTTTACCCCGCATAGAAACCCTTGAAGGCATGGTCATGGTTTTGTATTTCAGTGCTCACTCACAGACCAGAAACTCAGAGTCCTCAGCCACAAACCAAAGAAACGAGTCTTCCCTGAACGCCCGGATGGAGAAGCGGACATGCCGGCAAACACATAGCTCTCGGGCTCAAGATCTGCCCGAGATGGATCCTGATCAGTTGTTTGAAACGGTGCGTGATGGTAACTTGTCGGAAGCCAAAGATGCGCTTTCGAGAGTCGACGTGACATGGCGGCACAGCCAGCTGAAGCAAAGCGTGCTGTTCTTCATTGCGGCAAGACAGCGCCGCGGCTCTGAAATATTAGGCAGACGTGCCGTCCGAATGGGAGTTGCTTTGGCAGAGGTGGACACGAACCAGCAGACGCCCTTGTTCTACGCAGCCTCCCG